AAGAAGGAGAGATCCAACCATGAGAGAAAAAAGAAAAATTTTCATCAAGTAAGTGTTCTTCATTTTATTCTTTGGTTTGTTTCTCATCCTCCTTTTGTCTAATAAAATTTTTTCCGCTTTTTATCTAATAAAAATTCTCATTCTTTATTTATTTCTCATCCTTCCTATATTTATTAAGGATTCTCCTTCTTTGTTTTTTTTTATATGTTCTTCTCTTCTTCTTCATGATTTAACCTTTTTTGCAAGTGTAATAAATAAATAAAAAGAGAAAATTTAATAAAATTTCATTTTATTTATTTTTTTAATAAATTCTAATAATTTTTCTAATCCTAAATTACTTTTCACTCAATCAAACCCTAAAAAATAAAAAATAAAAAATCTTAATCTATAAAAATTAATTTTTTTCACTAAATCTAAGTATTACCTTTTTGCAAACCATAAAAATAAACTTTTTTTTAACTATTTTTTTTTTTTGCCAAACCCTAAAAAGAATATTTGTTTTTTCTATCCCAAAATCATTCAATTTTTTTGCAAGGTCTAAAAAAAACCATTTTTTTCAACCCTAACAATTTTGAAAATTATAAAAATTTAATTTTTCTAAATCTTAAAAATTCTTTATTTTCATAAATTCTAAAAACTCTAATTTTTTTTGCATATTCTAACCTTAAAAAAAATACTTAATTCCTAAATCGGATAAGAGTTATTTCCTCATCATTTTTGTTTGCTTTATTTATTTGTTCTGTATGTCTCTCGTTTGTTTTTTTTTTTTTTTGCGTGCAAAAATCTCATATTAAAATGTACATCAATTTTTTATTATTAAAAAAAAGGGAGTCTTTTGAATCCACGCAACGACCAAGTAATTTTGATAGAGTGGAAGATCTACTTTCAACCTTGCTTGGATCGTAAGAGTTTATTGAGTAGCTATGTGCTAACTTGAACCCTGTGCATGAGTGGATTTACTTAAAAATAATAATAAAGAAAAATCAAGTTTTTCAAAAAAATAAAAAAGATAGAAAATCTTTAAAACTTGTCTACAATTTTTTGAAAAAGAATTATGTGGTAGCTTTGATTCCTACGCTACACACGGAGAATAGATAGGAGTGGGAACCTGACCTGTCAAGTCTAATTTTTTTTTTAGGTTCAAAATATTTTTAAAATTGTTTTAAACTAAGATTAATTTCTAGCACATTTTTTTTTATAAAAATAAAAAAAACTAAAATTTTATTTTATTTTAAAAAATAGAAAATAAAAAATAAAGTGTTATGATAAGTTTTTTACTATATATTTCTTTAATACAAAAAATGAAAAAAAAGAATAATATTTTTATAAATAACTCATTTCTTTAATTCAAATAATTTTTATTGTATTTTCTCATTTAAAAAAAAAATTAAAATCTCTCAAAAAAATTTGTAAAAATTAGAAATAAATCTAAAAATAATAATAATAACAAATTTGAAAATAGTAAAATAAAATATTAATTAGTTTCTTTTAGAGTGAAATAAATATTTTTAAAGTTAAAATAAAATTTTGCACAATTAATTAGAAGGTAACTGTTTTAACCAACGGATGGCGTAAAGTGTTAATACTTTGCTTACATGTAAACGACTCCCGAACCCAAATTTGGTTTTGAATATTTTTTTTAATTAAAAGTTTTTTCTAACGTTTTTTTTAATAAATTTTGGTGGTGGCTCCTTGTCATCGTCGTCCCGTTGTGACCACGGTTACAAATAATATAATTTTTAGCATAAAAGGAAGTTGCAAATTCTTCATTTTATAGATTTACACAAACCTAGAATTTCTTAGCAGTCATGACACAGTAAAAAGTGTCATTAGTGTAAGTGTGATATCTTAAACAAATGGGTGAAGGTGCTAAAATCTTATAACGTTTTAAGTAATTTGTGGGAAGATCATCACAACAAATAAGCTAAATTATAAATTTAATATTTTTCGCACAAGTAAGACATTAAATCTACCTAAAACTAATGTATTGGTATGAAATTCTCTTACTAACAAAATAATTAAAATCATATTTAAGTGTATAATTTTCCTCCAAATTGCTTGATCATTGATATGAATAATTATTGACAAGTTAGATTGATTTTGATATTGAAGTGGTAATTTAAGAAAATTTTCATTTTTTTTAGTCCAAACATCTTTAACTTGCAGTTTTATATTGTAGACTTAAAAGTATGGTAATATATGTTTTAATATTATATAATATACTAAGTAATAAATTAATATACAATTATAATAAATTAAAATAAGTGTATGAATAAAAAAATTATATTATATGATTTTATATTTGAAATTAATTGTGAGGATTTAAAAATAAATATATATAAACGACATAATGTTCTAATAAAAAATAACTATACATAAATTATGGTGACATGTATGCTTTTCATTAAATTTTTACAAAAAATGAGTTTTCACATTTTTATTTCATTTTTATACATAAAATTGATTATTACATTACATATGCTTACATACATATTAAAATAAGAAATAAGAAGCACACAATTAACATTAAATAATTATAAAAGTACATCAATCATAATACAAAAAAATTAAAATATCTATGACCCCATTTAAGTTATAAATATTCACCAAAATAACTTAAAATTTATCTAAAAGGTAAATACTTAAAATAAAAAATAACTTTTAATGAGACACAACTGATACGACGAAATTATGAAAAAATATAATAAATTCATGAATTTCTACTTATACGAGTAATATAAGTGCTGAAATTATGTAAATGTGTATAAATTTAGTCAAATAATAAAATAAAAACTTGATCTGATTCAATAAAAAATATATTTGTGTTAATTTATCGTTCAGTTGTTTTTTTAATTTTATGAATTAAAAAACAAAAGACTTTTATCTATTCTGACAATAAATACACTCAATTAAACTTGAATTAGTTGTAGTTTATTTTTTTTCAGGTTACAAGCTATGGTCTGATTTAATTTATGGATGTCAACACACTTTATTTTATATTATGGTTTATAACATAATATAAAATATCAAGTAGTAGAGGTGAATTTTAAGTGTTTGGTGTGCAGATTTTTCTTTAGTTTATAGAAATTATTGTTTTGGAAATCATGTGTTTAGAGAAGTTTTTTTAATGTTAAAAATATATTTAATATATCTTACATATATTTAGGTGTGTTAAACAATATTTTTTAAAATTATTTTGATATATTATTTAATTTAAATACTATTTTTAAGAATATTAATGGTTCTTCAATTTTTTTAAAAATATTTATTTTTAACAATAATTATAAATATTATTTAAATTATTAACTTAATTTATGTTTATTTATTTTAAAATAAATAAAATTAAAAATTAAAAAAAAACATTAAAATATTTAAATATAAAAAGTGTATAGCATTTGTGTGAAAAAAAAATAAAATTATATACAAAAATCGACTTCATCAATACCTACACAATGTTTTCGTAAAACAGGCAAAATTATATAAGAAAGTCAACTTCATCGATGTGCATCATATGCACGTACGCTCGCATAAATTTATCAATATAGGTAATAAAGATTACAAATTTTTAATCACATTAGCTTTCTAATCATTTATAACCATAATAGCGAGTTAGGGATAAAAATTTTGAATAAATAATAAAAAGACAAGAAATAATATAAATTAAGTTTAAATTTAAAATATTAAAAATGTATATCGTAATTCTATATTGTATTTTTCTTTATAAAATTCTTATCAGCCGCTTGGTTTACAAATTATTTCATATTTTTAATTATAAAATAATTATATAGTTTCATTAATTTCATTTTTAGAGATTTATAAAAAATAATAAAAGTAAAAAATATTTTCAGAAATTTTCATACAAATATTTATAAAAAAATAATAAAAATAAGATGATAAATTACAATTAAAATAAAATAAAAATTATAAATCAAACCGTTCCTTAGATTTCCACCTTCCAATACAAATATTTTTTTAAGAACTTACTTAAAAAATAGTTTAAAAGAATTAATTTGCTAAAAAAATTGAGTTGGTAATTAAACTAAATTTATTGAGAGGTCAGTTTGTATTAATATATAACAGTGAGTGACTTTATTTATTTATTTATTTTCTATTCATAAATATATTTGCATTTTTTTCTACGTACTAAACAAAACATGGATAATGTAAGGAAATATAACACGATCTTGTTTACCTATTCAAAGAGCAAATCAGCACGTTTCCAACGTGTTAGTTGTGGGTTAAATATTTTTTCAATTTTAATTATTTTGTTTTAATATGTATTTTAGGTTAAATTTGAAATTATCTATGCTATTCATAAATCAACTTTTAATTTATATTTTGAAATTTTATCTGAATTTATAAAAACTTGTAGTATATAAAAGATAACTGTTTGTTAACATTTAACTTAAGAGTTTTTGTTCAAAACAAATTTAAGATTTATTTTAAAATTTTAATTTTTAGATAAAATTAATATTAAGTATTTTTATATTTTAGATATAATAAATATATTTTTTATCTTAAAATTGAGAGTGTTTATAATTGTTCATTTTTATTGTTTTTAAGTAATTTTTATTTAAAATATCCTTTTATAATTATATCAATAATAAATAATATTTTAAAAAAACTTTTAAATTAAAATAATAATAGGTAATATACATTATCTAAATTTGAGATTAGCATTTTTTTCAATAAATAATTAATGGAGTACTACGTATGCTCTGCGCTGCTGCGCACTAGGGAAATAGTTAGGAAAAAAAAAAAAAAAAAGAGTGCAAGAAACATCGAACGTTACTTTGGTCAGTACTGTCTCAGCTTGGTTTTCAAAGCGGAAAAATCAATGGGCCCCATAAAATAAAAATAAAATATTTCAATTCCTCTGGAGTCCCTAATCTTTCGCTTTCTATAAATACCCCTATGTTGCTACCATTTTCCCTTCTCAAATTAACTTCGTAGACAAGAACCTGGACTAGAATTTACATTGATTCTACGAGTCCAGTTTCTCTTCATTTTCATTTTCCTATTCTTCTTATGGATCTCGCAACACAATCATTATTATCATTCTTGTTAACACTTCATCTATCAGTATCAGGTAACATCCATACTATTGCATAACAAATGAAATAAGATGAAAAGTTTTGAAAGATTTTGCAGGATCAAACTTATGTAATTTTGGTGAATTAATTTGCATGCAGGGGTAATTTCAACCACATTCACTCTGGTTAACAAATGTGACTACACAGTATGGCCAGGAATTCTTTCAAATGCGGGTGTCGCTCCTCTTTCAACCACCGGCTTCGTTCTTGAAACCGGCGAATCTAGCACCATCACCGCACCAACCTCTTGGGGTGGCCGCTTTTGGGGTCGAACCCTTTGCTCCCAAGACTCCACCGGAAAGTTCTCTTGCATCACCGGCGATTGTGGCTCCGGAAAGCTTGAATGCGCCGGAAACGGAGCTACGCCGCCAGCCACCTTAGCCGAGTTCACCTTAGATGGCGCGGGAGGCCTCGATTTCTTCGATGTCAGCTTGGTAGATGGCTACAACGTGCCCATGCTTGTGGTCCCGCAGGGTGGCTCTGGCAACAACTGCTCCGCCACAGGGTGCGTCGGGGATCTGAACGGCGCGTGTCCCTCCGAGCTTAAGGTGATGAGTGCTGATGGAAAAGAGGGCGTGGCGTGCAAGAGCGCGTGCGAGGCCTTCAATTCGCCACAGTATTGCTGCAGTGGTGCCTATGGCACACCTGACACTTGCAAGCCTTCTTCTTACTCACAGATATTCAAGAACGCTTGCCCACGCGCCTATAGCTACGCGTACGACGATAAGACCAGTACCTTTACATGTGCATCTGCGGATTATACTATCACCTTTTGCCCTTCCCCTACCACCAGGTTAGTAATTTTATCATCTTACTCTAAAATATATTTTTATTATATTTCTTTCGTTTCCTCTTTCTCTCACTAATTACTGTTGTTAATAATGTTAATAGCAGATAATTACGTTGGTTCTCTCAACTAAGGTTGAAAAAGAAGTTATATGTGATAATTTTTATTAAAAATTATAGTATTTAATAGTATTAATATATTTATAATCTTTAACAAAAATTTATCATGTGTAATTTTTTATTTTATGTAATAACTGCACAATATTACACAAATTAAAAAATAACTTTATTAAGCTGGGATTCCGTAATGAATATAAACAAAGATAGAGTTCAATTATGTGGTTATTTATTGTAAATCGTAACCACTATAAAGATATTTAAATAATAAAGTTAAAGAATTATAATAATAAATTTTTTTTATTAAAATTATGGTATTTAATAACATTAGGTCAGTTTATGTCAAATTGAATAATGTAAGAAATTAAAAATAAATAATAATAAATACTAATTAATACACTTAACTGACAAAGTAAAAGGTATATATATGATTAATAACATTTTTATGATTTTTAATGTGTATTAAAAATATTTTTAATAAATTTTTTTTACGATTTTTGATATATTTTATCAGAGTTTTTATTTTATTTTTTGTTCTCAATAAAATGTAACTTAAAGAGACTTAATTAATACTACCCCTGACATTATTTAAATTTGTCGGATGTGTAAATGTTACTTCCACTCAGGACTTAACGTTAATTCCAATGATGAAATAATAGGAACGTTGAAATTGGGATGATTCAGTGAAACGTCAGAGTTCCCCTAGAAAATAAAAATGTACACCAAAGGAAGCCTATATTTTCAATTGCAAGCAATCTAAAAGATCATTAATTAGGTGCAGATATCAAATAGAGTAAACAAGACCTGCCTAATAATTAGGTATGTTCTAGACCAAGCCAAAATGCAAAAAATCTATATTTTCTCCCGAATCTCGATAACATGAATAATTGAACTAGAATGATATTGTACTAACCTATGCACATGGGATGAGATTGCTGCTGGCACACATGTCAATGGTTATCGTTGCGCTGCATTATTAGTACGTCGCCATTAAAGTAACTGCTCAACTGTGAAATTCATGACCGTTGCATAAATCACATTCTGACACGTTTGGAGTTCTATTTTGTTTTCTTCTTGGGAATCCTATTTCCATTTATTTATCTTTTCTAATTATTATTTCTATTTTCATTTTCCAGTCAGAAGGCTTCACAGGGGCAAGATGGTTCTTCTTCTTCTGCCTCGCCAATGCTTAACAACGCCACAATGGTGTATGAAGGTGGTTTTGATCAAAGTGAAATATCAGGGGCCACGTGTACCCATGTGTTCCAATCCCGAGCTATTGCCGGCATTTTAGGTTTCACGATGGCTATTTGGTGGTTGTGCCAACTCTTCTAACTACTGCTTCCTTCAGCATTTTTCATAGGGTTAATAAGCCCGTGAGCTTCCAATTATAAGTCATTGGCCCAATTGGATGGTGCGACCCTATATTAAACTTGACTCATTCCTTTGCTCACCAAGAACCATGTGACTTATGTATGGCCCACGGGTTTGGCCATGCTGACGGGGCTGTGACTCGTATGAGGGGAAAGCTCACCGGTCGTTTCCACTTTGAGGCCCAAAGACCCTACCAATCTTTACCTTATTTTATGGCGGCAGGATTTCAATACTACAAATATATTACATATACATATATAATATAGGACGTAGTGAGGGATAATTGAGTTTTCTTTTATTCCAATTATTATTTTATTTTTCTAGGTTAGATACGTAGAATAGAATATCAATAGGTATATACTATTATTAAATTCTTTGTACGTGGGAGGAGATTTTTTATGAATAATGTTATTTTTACTCAATTTTTATAATTATATGATTCTTCTAAATTTGCAGTTTTTTCTTCAATATTTTGTCTCTTTCTTCCTCGTCTACATTTTATAATGAGAAATTAGTGTAAAGATAGCTGTATACTCATTTTGTTTTTGGGTTAGAGAAAGTACGGCTGAAATATTTAACTACAATAAAGAAATGGATTCGCCTGTTATGTATTCTCTCTCCAGTCTGTAAGATTGCATGTTATTTGACTCTGTTTTGTCAACGTGTGAGGCGTGTTCCATAAATAACACTATTTGTCACTGAAGTTGCCAAAAAGTGCAACTTTGTAAGAACTGATAACATAAATAAGTATATAGATAGATAAAAAAGAAAGACAGACGCAGAATTCTCCCTCTTCGTATTGTGTACAATGACCAATCCATGGCTAAAAGATTAAAATAATATTTTTTAAAAACTAATTATCAAAATAAATTAAAATTCAAACTATTTTTTTGTATGGAGTAAATTTTTGCCAACTCAGCATTAATTTCGTACAGAAGTCAAATAAAATTAATTTTTATATTTTTTATTTAACTATTTTATCTAAAAGTGGGATAAAACACTCAATTAGATACGTGTTAATTTCGTATGAAATTGGGATGAAACTTTAGAACATCAACACTTGTTCGTATGTTAAATTCATCTTAATTTTGAATAAAATCACAGGATATTGACACATGACATAATCTTGTTAATTTTGTCTTGATATTGGACGAAATCACATGTAAATTCGTCTTAATTTTGGATAAAACTACATAATTATGAAATGTGTCAAAATCTTGTTAATTTCGTCTTCATATTAGATGAAATCATATCTAAATTCATTTACAACTAAAACGACATTCATTTGGAACCTCAGTCACTTACATGCTACTGCCCCCGGTCAATTTTAGTAAATTTTGGATATTTTATAATTTTCTTGTTATTAATTAATTATTAAAATTATAATTTTTTAAAATACTAAAATAAATAAAGATAGTTAAAATTTATGAATATGTAGTAAAAAATTTAATTCACTAACTAAAATTGTTATTTCATCATAAATACATATGAATATTTAGTATCAATCTAAAAATTTTAATTCACTAACTAAAATTGTTATTTCATCATAAATTAAATTATATATTTAAATTTATTTATTTTAAACATTTTATTTACATAAGTAAATTTTTAATTTCATCATAATTAATTAATTGTCATTATATTATTTATTTTTATATTATTTATAATCTTAAATATTTACTAGTATAATTTGAATATAAATTAATATATAGTCAATTATAATACATTTAATTTTTTACTTTTATAATTTTATTTTGTAATTATCTATTAATGTTTTTTAATCATAAATTGAGTTATCATTTTATATTTTTTTAATGTTATTTAATATTAAAAAATGAAATTTTTATTTTCAAATTTATATGTATTCTAAATATCATTTATTATATTATTAATCAACCAATCTTATACAACTATTTTTATTTTTTTATTCTAAATATTATTTAACAATTTAATCTAATGTATTTAATTTATTTTTATTTGTTTTTAAATTTACATCTCAAATTACTATGATAATTTTACATGTAAAATTTTATTTTTTTTTACAAATTAAGATTATTTTTATATTTCTAAAAAATTACTAAATTAAATTAAAATTAATTTTTAATCTAAACTACTCTATCAATATTTTTCTAATCAATAAAATTTGAATTATAAAAAATTTAAATTACATAAAAAAAAAAGTAACCTCGTGCAGATTTTTTCGGCCAAGCACAGTTCGTCCGGTAGTGACAGTGGCAGTTTGTGCAATGTGTGACATGTTTCCACTACCTCCTACCTTTCTTCTCCCCTGTCGCCACGACAAAGGTTGGCAGTTTTCCCAACTTTCTTAGACTTCCAGTCCAAGAACAGTAACAATCGGCAATGGAAACGGACGAAATCACAAATCTGTAATGGATTAAGAACAAAACTACTTGCTCATTCAAAAATCGCTCAAACAAACAACAAAAAATCCTCCTGTGTGACAGAGCGAAAATAGTTATGACTTCTAGATCGAACCAGAGGCGGAGGGGAGAAGGAGGAGGATGGATTAAAAACAAAATTACTTGCTCACTAAAAAATCGCTCAAACAAACAACAAAAAATCTTGCTGTGTGACAGAGCAAAAATGATTATGGCTTCCAGATCTAACCAGCAGAGGGGAGAAGGAGAAGAGGATTCGTGGTGCTCGTTCACTCCACCGACATGTGGACCAATGAGAGACTTTTGTCTCTGATTTAGATGAAATCACTATTTCGCTAAATCAAAGACGAAATTCTCCCATTGGTATGATACAGCAAACTAAAATTTAAATCTTTTTAGAGTTTTGTTTTGTTTTTATTTAATATGGGACATGTGTCATTATTTTAGTAATTTCGTTCCACTTTTAGACAAAATAGTTAAATAAAAAAAAATTAGTCTGACTTTTATACAAAATTAGTGCTGAATTGACAAAAATTTACCCCAAACAGAAAAAATAGTTTGAGTTTTAATTTATTTTGGTAATTAATTTAAAAAAAACATTATTTTAATCTTTTAGCCCCAATCCATAATCTGACAAGGGAGCGAGCCTTTATTGTTCATTGCTATGATTATTGATAAAAGTACATTAACTTAAGTGGTTAGAGTTAAATTTAACACTAAGTAATAATATTATTTTATTAAAAAAGTAATAAATTTTCTTATTTATAAGAGCATTAGCCTTTTTTAATTGGAATCTACTACTTACGGGACTGTTCTACTTGCAATAATTAACATCCATAACATTGGTGTGCTCCTCACCACAAAATTAACAATAGCTTTGTTGATATCACTTCTTAAAGTTGATTTTAATAATGTTTTGCGGGAATCGTCTCAACCAAGCATTTTTTATTTATTAGATTATCTAATCTGTTTGTTGACTCGCCTATCCCATGCCTTGATGTTAGTGGGTCTTTGGTATCCTATCCTCTCTCACCCATTTGATGTCTCATGTTAAAGCATACGTTGAAATTCACTATTTGCACTAAAATTTTATTGAATATTTACGCCTACATTCAAGGTTCATGGAGAACTAGAATTGGATTCGTGATGGCAGGCTTTATTGTCACAGTGAAAATACAACAATCTTTATTCATGTGTGTTTGAATTCAATTAATGGAACACGATTATATCGTTTCGGCCGCCAGCAGATATGTAAACCTGTCTGAGCAAAAAGTCAAACACTGGTGTTCGTCGTGAACATTTGATTAGTATATGTACGAAGAAATGGATTTGAGGAATAATTTGACTGATCTTATACTAAGGTTGAGTTGCAAAAGAAGGGATTAACGTAGGATTCTACGCATACCAAGTCTTGTGTAGTTTTCTATATCAACCACAATCATTTTATATTACTTTTTTTTTTTCACCCTGCCTCGTTCAACATTTCATTGTATGTGATGGGTATAAAAAATTTGAAGTAAAATAAAATATTCTTTTCAAATATGTGAAGTATAATTTATTTTATTTTTATCTTTTATTCTTACAAATTTACTTAATCATTAAATTTAAAAATTAAGTAGAAAGATTTAATAAGATGATTCTTGACTTTATGCACTTCCAATTTCTAGTAGTTGAAGTTTGAAAACTACCCGGCTAACCCGCGGCGAGTTGTTGCCTATGTTTATGAGTTTTCTCATTGCGATGGCTATTGAGAAGCAAGTCTTTTGGGTTGTTTGGGAGGGAGGAGAATAATTTTTTTAATTTTAAATAAATATATTTAAAATTAATATATTAACATAAATTTAATATACAAATCACGTATTTATTATTTTAAATAATATATAATTTTATCAATTTAAAAATTATGTGAGGTTTATTCCTTTCAAAATCTCTCTCTAATACATAACTTTGTTGACATCTATATTTAAAGGATTGAATTGTTGCTTCTCTCGGTGGATGAATCATTATATGGGATTGTGGGATGCACTAACGTGTTCCGTGTAAATTAGTTGCAGCTCTGGCTCTGTCGATTTGACACAGAGTTTATTGTAGAACAATTTTTTATGCATGTCTTTAAGTGTATAATACAAAATTAATAAATATAGTAATTTTTTAATAAAATTTATTATGGATAAGTTTATACTGTGTATCTTTACATATATATTTAAAAATTTGAGAGTAAAACTACAACGAAAGATATGGAATTATTTGTAATACTTTGTTTTAAATATAAATTTTCAATTATTAAAGATAAAATGAAAAAATAAAAATATTTTGAATCATAATATAAAAAATATATCTTCTTTATTAAAGATATAATCTAATTTGAATTTAGATTAGTAAATGCATTTAAATAATAACACTAATAACTTTTAAATTAATTAAATTATAAAATTTAAAAATAACAACTTACAAACATGATTTAATGATTGTATTTACTTTAGCTGGCAGCTTTCGTCATCAGTTCGTGGTAGTGGTCACAGTCGCGTGATTATTCATGTCACAACATTTTAATGTATACTGTATAGTGCACGCTTCACAACAAATTAATTTTCAAATTTTTAATATGAAAATTGGGAAAGTTTTTCTTAATTGAAAACTGGGCTAGACCCGTTCCAGTCCCTTTCCTCCAGTCTCATCATGGGCCTGACATATGTAGTAGGAAAAGATTAGACAAAAACACAAAGGTAGTGGGAATGTATCCTTGAAATAGAAAACAAAATTGCTGACTCCCTTGAAATTTGTATCCTTTTTCTTGATGGCAATGTTCTTAATATAACAATATTTTTTTGAAAGGATAAAATATAAACAAGAAAAATGAAAAAAGGATAAAATTAACTATTATTTGTTGCGATGCCTAGATATCATTTTAACAATGATATTTTTAAATCATTTTAATGAATAATTTAAATCTTATATAATTTGTAGTAAATGTTGCAGTTTTGACCACAGCAAAGGCCAAAGTTCTCCAATTTTAGACCTCAAGGACTGAACTTTGGATCATAGGGTTCAAACTGTACCCTTTAGACATTTTAAAATGTAAATTATTTTAATTTTTAAAAATCTGATAACTAATCTAATAATAATATTATTTTAATAACAAAATATAAATATTTTATTATATTTAATATTGGTTAAAGAAATCGAAGTATTAATTAAAGCAATTAAAAAATATTTTATTGAAGGGAAACAGTAATTTGATTTAATATTAGAAGGAAAATGAAAGCACGCATCATTTCCCCCCTATTTTTAAGAATAAATATTAAAAATGTATAACCTAAAAGTAAATATTTGAATATGTTTCAACAGTTTCATCACAATAAATTTTCTTTCCAGTTATATAAAGGAATTCAATCATCCAGACACAGACAGCCTTCACATAAAAATGGAAATGGGAAATCACTGTTCTCCAAAGGAAGCTCTTGTCTGCAACATTACCGTAATGTAACCCAAGAAAGTTCCAACAGGTAGAGATAAATTTGGTCAGATACCTACATAAATTAGAAATGAGCCAATATATATAATGATGGTACAGAAATGATGATGCAAGGAGAGGAGGACAGAGAGTTAGAGAGATGATATAAAATTTATTTAAATTAAAATAATTCGCTTAAACTAATTTTATATAAAAAAAATTATTATCTTTTATATTTTTACTTAAACGAATTAATAACCGAAAATGGAAGAGAATCCGTATTCATAGATTAGACACAGTAGATAGATTTTTATACAATTTAATAAAAATATTATGAAATTATGAGATATAATTAGAATATGGGGTGGGACCACTTTAAAGAAACTAGAAAGTTACATATGTAACTATGCGAGAAAATTCCCAACAAGAAGTAACAAGCAACATCAGAATCAATAATGAAGAGGCGCAACAGTGTACGGCAACTGTGATTATGAACACCCACTAGCGGTGTTGGAACGAACAATTGATTGAACAGATGAACATATAATTCCATGTTATGTTGCACCGAATGCCACTAAATTAAAGTAGATAATGTCATAATGATATGATGGGTGAAATTGCGTATGCTCACACGCTGCTCCTTCCTTTATTGATTCCCTGTTGCGGCGGAAGTAACTGGTTTTGTGTTCCTACGCCAACATCGATTACGTGCTTCTTTACGACACCCTTTAATTAATCGGTCCAATTTGAAGGGCTTTTGTCAAACAAATGAACCAAACTCGCGACTCGTGAGTGGCGTCGCATTCACTTCTTAGGTCAAAAAAGTGCTAATCACATTCATATTAGTATGACAAATGAGAACAAATGCTGCCTAACTACAATGGTATATGTTCCCATGCATAGACACTTTCTCTTAACCAGATAAACAAGTGTTGCTTTCAAAGAAGAGTGAAGACTTTAATAGATTCATACTTTCAAGTCAGTTTAGTTGGTTAAACTTCAACGGATGAAGTACGTTCCAGTTTTGAAGTTATAAGGTAATTTAATTAGCATGAGCATGGGCCGAGCAGGATATATCGGAGGGGAAAAGAGATCATCTGAAATTGATATCCACCTTCTAAGTTTCAATTCTATTACTATTTTGCCATTACAACTATTAAAAATCAACTTCATCAATATGAGTGACATTGTCTTTTTTAATAAATATAAAAGTTGACAATTAATATTATCTTCAACTTTTAAAATGATGATTATATAAATTTTTCCTAAAACAATAGATATAAAAAGTGGGGGAAATATTTGTTATCTTTAATTAAAAAAAATACTGATCAATACTCATTAAACATTAATTAAATAATAAAAATCATTCTTTTATTCATACAATGTAGAATCCCTTACCTTAATTTACTTTTAATCGTAAGATTTATTTTGGTCGCATAATCTGGAGGTACAAGCAGCTAGCCGTGGACCAACGCTGAGAAGGATCCTTCGTGGGCTTAGTCGTCATAGTTTCATTATTTGCGGCATGGGCCCAGAAATCAGATGGTTCAAGCCATAATTGGGCCCCCATGAAAGGTAAAATGGGATGTCGACAAAAAAAAGAAGAAGACAGGAAACGTGTTTGTATTTGAATAGTTAAATAATTAGTTTAAGAAGATTTAAGTTGTCATGGATAAAAAAAATTAATTTGTCTAAAGTGGGTGAATATATAAATTAAGAAAGTAAATATTTATTTATTTTTATTTAAATTCAAGTATTTTATAAACTATTTCCTAATGTGTGTTCAAAAAATTTATGTATATTAAGTTTTTATTTGCATAATATTACTTAATTCAATGCAGTGATGATATTAAATGGCGTAATTTTTAATAAAAAAATTAGTATTTATTGATTTCTTTTAATGTGTCCTTGTACACGTTGAAAAATAGCTTTATAAATATAATTAGCTTTAAATTAAAAATGATTAAGCTCTCACATTTTGACTTAAATCATAAAATATTACCAATTTGGTGGCAATCTGCTTTTGTGGTACAAATTCAGAGCATTTAGCCATTTTGAAGATTAAAATAACCCGAGCGATTAATCTTAGCAAAAAGGTTGGTGCGGATGTCATTTTTGGGGAATAAAGATGGGGCAATGCTACGTTACTGTCTCAAGTTACAACAATTACCAAGACTTTTATTGCTTAAATTATAGAGGATCATCTTTACAGTTGCAACTAACTAATTCCTTTTACATCTTTAAATAAATAGTTCAAAAGATTCTGTATGTAAAAAATGTGTCATTCACCAACAAGTAGCTTGGAGAAAAAGGTTGTTGGGTCAGGATTTGGAGAACATTAGAATCTCGTTAGGTAAAGATAAATTTTGATTGGGTCATGGGACAAAAATGTCAGAAGTGGGATTTGAACCCACGCCCTCTCACGAGGACCAGAACTTGAGTCTGGCGCCTTAGACCACTCGGCCATCCTGACTGCAATGTATGCTGTTTCTTACGTCGAATAAGGTGAAGTTGTATAATGCTTAGGCCTAAAACGTTTAGAATAATTTATGTACATTTATAGAAGACAAATTATGCTATTTTTATGAATTTCTTGTAACTGATATCAGTAAGTTTTACAATAAGTCGTGAAATAAGAGTTAGTTAAGTTTTTATATAAATATATCCTCTTTTTTGCTCTTGATGCTATTTTTTTTCACAAAGTACCTTTTCTAGTGCCGGTTGATTCACTTGTTAAAATTTTGAGCATGAGTAGAATTTGTGATAAATGAAAAATATTTAAAATAAAAAACAAGTCTAAAATATATAGATAGATAAATAAATTACATGATCTTTCATATAAACTAAATGATAATTAACGTAGTGCCTTAAATTCTTTTGTTTGATACATGATGCTAAGCAAATTGACTATATTTCCTAGTAATTCCATAAAAATGAAAACATCTCCTTACAATTTTAGATTTTCCTAGCGGGCCCAGTATGTGGGGTCAAAGCCTACAGATTTTACATTACTTTAATTAATAGACATTCGATTTGATAAATTAGAGAAATCAAGCATACATCTTCTGGTTATTATGCATATAACGTATAGATATCACCTTTTTTAAGAAAATAATTTTTTTTATAAAATTAAAATATTATTACCACAAGTTCAATAACATTTAGCCATAGTTAAATCAATAAATTATAAATGTGTACATTCATCAATTTAATGTTCTATCTAATTTATTTTTTTAAACAATGCTTCTTTGTTATTAATTTTGTATATTCAAAACATATAAAATTTCTTATATCCTTTTAACTTTAATCAATTATTAATTATATACTTACTAACAAAAACTTTTAAATTTTGTGGAGATATGATTAGCAAATGATTGAGTAACCAAATCAAATAATTTTTTATTTAAGCTTGTTTGTTCAACTTTTGCTTTCTCGCTCGAGAGTGAGTACAACTTCAAAATTAAATGTATACTTTTATATATTTGATAATATTAACTGTAGATATATTTAATTAAATGATATGTATACATATTATGTGTGTATTAGTTAAAATTTTCCTCGTTTATTCTTTGTAGTTTCATCCCTCTTGAACAAAAGTTCTGATATAGAACAAAATTACTTCTATTTTGTCTAAGTTAAAGGTATATGATGAAACACTTGATGAAATTTAGGAACGCATAAAGCGTGGCGTGTAATGCGAATTACTGCAAATGAATGCAAAGTCGTTAGTTCACAACACACGTTGCAAAAATCTAACCTCAGTTTCTTGCCTCAAAGTATGAAAAATGGAAAAAGAGATAGCAGAATCGAATCCGTTAGCCACTATCAGAAGGTGGTCCTCCCAATTTATTGGTGTATGAGTGTACAAGTTATAGTGGGTTTTACTCCACCTAATATTCCATTATAGTATATATACTTTATGATCCATCTTCGACATCTCTTCTCATCTCATTCTATTCCTCACAAAAACAAAAACTTTATATCCGATTGTTTGATTTCATGCATGGGCAGTGGAGCCCAACATTATCACCCTCCATCACTTTCATTCATTAATCACATTTCAAATGGATTTCTTCGCTCCCCATTATTTCTCCATACACATTGCTCTCATCTGGGTTCTACTTTGCAGAGGTAATCATCAATTGATTCTTCTTCATTCAAATTTTCTATCACACATTACATAACACTCTCAACTAGTCACAATATCCATTGGAAACACATACAGGTGCATCAGGAGCCACGTTTATTCTAATCAACAAGTGTGATTACACGGTGTGGCCTGGAATTTTGGCCAATGCGGGTAGCTCCGGATTGGACTCAACCGGGTTTGAGCTCCGACCCGGTGGGTCACGGAGCTTCCAAGTGCTGCCGAAATGGTCCGGAAGAATATGGGGCAGAACCGGGTGCAATTTTGACCCGAATACCCAACAGGGTAGCTGCACCACAGGAGATTGCGGTTCCAACCAGGTCCAATGTAATGGGGGTGGGGCAAGCCCACCCGCTACATTAGCCGAGTTCACAATCGGGTCGGGTACCCAAGACTTCTATGACGTGAGTCTAGTTGACGGGTACAATTTACCCATGATGGTGGACCCGAGTGGGGGATCGGGGACATGCGGGTCCACCGGGTGCGTTGCAGACCTTAACCAACGGTGCCCGAATGAGTTACGGGTTGGAGACCGCAACGCGTGTAAGAGCGCGTGCGAGGCGTTTCAGAGCCCTGAGTACTGCTGCAGCGGCGCGTATGCTTCACCCGCGACTTGTAAGCCTTCGGTTTATTCACAGATATTTAAATCCGCGTGTCCCAAATCGTACAGCTACGCCTACGACGACGCTACGAGTACGTTTACGTGTACGGGAGCTGATTATACCATCACATTCTGCCCTTCAAACACAAGGTAAGCAGATTCTGATTCTCATGATGGTTCTTTACATGCATCTTGATATTAATTTAATTCAATTCAATTATTCTGCTTTTCTTTTTCAGCGTCATTGTGTTTTCTTAATTGTTATTTGTTAATTATATATAATATGCAACCGTTTTATTAAAATTGAAACTAGTAATATCTTAATAAAAAAAAACCTTTACTAGTAATTTGATATTCGGCTTCCTACAACTTTTTTTTTTTCTGGTTCCTAAGTGTACTTTTAGTTTAGTATGGCTCAAGTTAATGCCTACATTATATTTGCTTGAGGTGCACTAAAAGAAAAGAGGGTTGCGATAGCCAGGTTGCATGCAAAATAAGAGGCACAGAAGGAGGATGCCAATTTGTTATAAGATAAAATTATAAAATTAAGATAAAATTAATACCTTACCCACAATTGGAATCTATTACATGATAAAATTATAAGATAAAATCACCAGAAGGAGGATGCCAATTTGTTCCAACAATCTTGATTCGTTTTCAAACTCTAAAAATTTCCTTGCTACAAATATGGGTGCCTTTTTTTCGTGTCATTGAATTTAACTTCGTTTTGTTATGTGCAGCCAAAAATCCGCAAGAGATTCACCACCACCTCCTCCTAATGGATTTGGGTCAGGGGAGATGCCATTGATAGTTAATAGTCCATGGTTTCCCAACTTTTTCACTGGATTCTCATCCAAGCTCCGCTCTTACCCTTTGTCATTGATTGCTACACTGGCTATGCTACTATTCTTCATTTTTCAATAATCATATATAGTGATATTAGAGGTTGTAGGTGACATTTTGGAGGATAATTAAATCTCAAGTTACAAAACCTCACCATTAATTCTGGTTCATACTCATTTTAACTTGGAAAGAAATTGCAATCAGGATCTAATTCACCCACCAGAAAAAATAAAATAAAAAAGGAGCCTTTTTAGGCATGGATTGTCATTATTCAATTAGAGACTGATGGAGCGCAACATGAAAAGTAGTGTTTTCTATGCTTTGCTTGACTTAGAATCCGAGTAATATGGTTGGTACGCTCCCTAGCTAGCTAAAGCCAACTTTGCGGGTATTTCAAGCTTGGCACCATTGCATTCGGAGCTGGCTAAATAATGGGATCTGCAATTATATTGTTGAACGCACTCGGTTGTGCATTAAGACACGTAGCTAGTGTATTCAAATTATATGCAATTCAGTGATATTGCACTGCCTCTGATCTTCGAAGCTGTACAGTAAGATTTTAGCTGGAAATGATATTCTCTGTGTTTGACATATATTGTTGAGTCTGAGTTTGACATTTGTGTTATTTAGAAACACATTATCGTCTTTGCAAGGGATAATACTATCTTTAAACTATCATTTTTAAATTTTTAATTAATAAATATTTCTTTTTAAAAATAATCTATTAAATAATATTGAAGTAATAACAACTATGACAATTTATTTTATAATTACACACAATATATAGTATTTTAATTAATTTAAATTTAAGAAATTTTGATAATTAGTTTACCTTTTAAATTTTACAATTTTAATTTACCAACAAGTAATTTTTAAATCAATCTTTATTTAATAATTAATCTTTTAAAATAACCTGTTAAATAAATTTTAATGAAAATTAATTTATAATTACATTAAATATTTATTATTCAAATTACTATATTTTTAACAAATTAGTCTTTGATACATAAAAATAGTAAAGAGAAACGATACGTGTGAGTTGCGATTCTATTTGGAGAATGATAATTAACAAGCTTGAGTTTTAATTAAATGAAATTATAAAACTTATAACATCTTTAATTATATGGAAGTAATGGAAATTTTAAAATTTTGATTCTGATAAAAATGTTATTAAATAGGATAAGGCTATTGAACAATTTCCACAAATAATTAGATCCAATCTTAAGTTTAAAAAAAGGGATAATTGGAGCAATTTAAACAAAATTAGACGCATGAATTTGGTAAAAAGAAATTAAAAATGCAGTAGAAAATGCTATTGAAAGGTTTTTTTTTCTTTTCAAAATTTAGGAGTAACCAATATGAAGAAAGCAATACATGCCAGCATAAGACATTTAATAAACTGATTAATGATGACAACAGAACTGTATCCTGAAATGATTCTTATAAATTTTAAGTCTCAAAAATAAATCGGGATATTCATTTTCTTTTTGTGAGAGGGAAAAGAAAAAAAATCAAATCGGCATATTCACTTGCTTGATTATAACTGGAATAAAATATAAAATTCAATAAAAGGAGAATAATGTTGTTAAAATCTATTATCTGCATCTATTTACGATTGATTAGGATTGGAATATATAGTACGTTTGAATCTACGTTAAATGAAATATGAGAGCTCACATCTTTTATTACATGTTACTGATATTAGTGTTAGAGAAGTCTTTTAAATGAGAATAGGTATATTGACAAAAAAGAAATCTGAATAGGTAAACAATATTGCTTTAAATTATTTTTTCTTTTTATTTATTGACTTTAAATTTACACTATTCTTAATGGAAAATTTATTTAAATATTTATTTCTCAAATCTCTAGCAAAGCAAATACCAGTGAGCATAAATGCATAATTTTATAAATGTAAATATTTTCAAGTCATGAAATTGTTTCTCGCTTCGGTGCATGGTTATAATCAAATTGATGCTAAAATCAACTAGTACGACCAAAGTATGATTTTTGTATTAATGTAATAATATTCTTTGAGTTTATTTAAAAAACATTCACAATCTACATAGTTTTTTTGTAGGCATTCATCTAATTACATATTATCATATTATTAAAAAGTAATAATTAGTTTACTAATTATATTTATTGTGTATTCTAATTTATTGACAATGTAAATTTTTGAGATTGACAGTCCTTAAACTCAATTTTTTAAAAGGATTAAATTGTGTGTAAAAATTAATGAAAACCTTTTAACACGTATTAACAAAACCATTAAAATTATAATCCAATTTCCAATTTCCAATGCAACCAAAAAGAGTTTTAGCACACTAATTCAAGATCTTGGTGCTTAGAAATTAAAATAATATTAAACATCCCGTCTAAAAATGAAAACAAATTTATGTATAAAGTAATTTGTTTTCTATGTTTTTTTCTAATATGAAACTATTTTTAAATAAAAATGACAAAAAGTTGCATGTATTTAAATACATTTAATTTGAGAGGAATCTCATGCCTTAAGAATCTACTGCCTCAAATTCAACATGAACGAGGACTGCAGATGGTGATTATTATAATAAAGCCTTCGTTCCTCTAAAATATTAGGGAAACCTACTTCGATGGAATCGGTGAGAAAAATAAGCCAATTCAATGGAATGTGTTTATCTTAAGATAACAATAAATAGATAACAATGCTACCTCTGGTAAAAGCTTTGGCTGATATTCAAGACTTATTTTACCTCTATTTAACCTGGAAAAAATAGCATGTTATCAATAAAACTACTTAAGAAGCGGCCAGTTTTAAATTATACTATTTTGTGGACTGTTGTACGTTGATATAAACCTATACTGAACTCATTCATCATTTCTGCTACACATTTTTTCCATTCATCTGACCTAATTTAAATTGAAGGCTGATAATTGTAAATAAAGGGCCGCTGTATTGCCGCAAAGACAAGTAGATTTTCTTAAACAAATTAAGATTGATGTGGTACGGCAAAATTCCAACGGATAGGATGATTACAGTAAAGACTAATGTGCTCTTTTAACAACTTATGGAATCAAAACTCATGCTAGAGAGGGTTTTACATTCTATCTCAAAGCTACACCAGGAAACAACGACAACCAACAGCAGCGTCAGCAAAAAGTGGATGTGATGCAAACCTACAACTCGTCCTTGACATCAGTATCATCATTTGCCGCATCATCTTCAGGCGTTGAAGTAGATGCATCTTCTTTTGCATCACTTTCAGCCTCTACTTCGGTTTCATCTTCCTCTTCAACTGTTGCTTCAGGACTGATGTCTAAGCTAGACTTCACAGAATCATAAATACGGGAAGCAAAATCCTTGGGGTCGTTAAGCAAGAAGCCACTTTCGAAGAGTGCAGTCTGGTACATCAGTTGAGCTGTGTGTTTCACACTCTCATCCTGAAAAGTAAGCGATAAGCCAATTGTTTTAACAAACTCCTAATTGTTTTAAGGGAAAAGAGGCCACAGAGTAAATTAAGCAACAGGAAAGTTCAAATATAAAATGTACCTCAGGATTCTTTACTACTCTCTCTCGGAGCTCCTTGATTATAGGGTGCCTAGGATTGATCTCAAGAACCCTCTTGCCACGCATGTATGCTTGCTTGCTAGCATCTGACAAAGTTTGAGACTGCATGATTCTCTCCATGTTAGCGCTCCAACCATATTTTGAAGTCACCACTACACAAGGAGTGTTATCCAATCGGTTAGATATCTTCACATCATCAACATTGTCATTGGAAAGGGCGTTTTTCCACCACTTAGTAAGATCCTTAAAGGATTCCTTCAATTCCTTGTCTTTTGCATCCTTCCCAAGTTTCAGACCCTCCTTTGACACATTTTGGAACTTCTTATCTTCATAATCCATTAGGTATTGCATCAAGTATTCATCAACAGGATCTGTGAAGAAAATAACCTGTAGCGCATTGAAAGACATCAAATCATCATTCCTTCTTGCAGGAGATAAAAAAAAGTTCCTACTAGACAAACAAATACAATTTGAGGAAATGAAGCAATTTTAATTGTACCTCATAATTTTTCTTCTTAAGCCGCTCAAGGAATGGAGATTTTTCCAGTTGTTCTTTGCTGGTTCCAGTAATGTAAAAGATATCCTTCTGCCCCGATTTCATTCTAGATATGTACTGATCAAGAGACGTCAATTTACCCTCAGACTTGGTGCTGCAAGAGTTTCAAGTGTTAGCTAGATGCTTAACTAATGATAGTGGGAAAACAAAATTACAAGGAGAAGAAATATACCTCTCAAATCTGAGCAGTTTTGCCAAGCGATTTCTG